ACCTTCGAATATGCACCTGCGATTCCTCACTGGTAACTATCTCCAGTTCCATTGCATTCCAAAACCAGAAGAGGAGGGACCTTTCTTGGGTAAACGTCGATTCAATGGGATCTCCGGCATTGCTGGCGATTCCTTTGACAACTAGGGTATGTCCGTCTTCGCCTTTGACAAGTTCTCCATGGATTTCTATGGCCACTCGCTTTTTTTTCGCTTTTTTCATTGTTAATAATATTCAAATATAATGCAAACAATGTGCCAGAAAGTCGACGCAGAGTTGTCGCTTCACTGGGGCTGGGGCCACGCCCCCTTCCGGCCGACATAGCTCATAGTTTTCACTCAACTGTTTGCATTAATTTGATTCCTTTTGGCCGCCGCCGCCTCACCATTTCCCCACCGCTCCTGTGGCTCGTTTTGTATTGTAATATCCGGCCGCTTTGGCCACGCTTCCTGGCCAAAGGAGGCGTTCATTTTTTATTCAGAGCACTTTGGCCAACAGTCTCTGCGGCTGTGCGATTTCTGCCAACTTTATGCAGCGCTTTGTTTGCATTTTCCAACTCATTAAGAGTAATTCGCTTTGCTCTTCGCTGTGTATTTTCCCAGCGCTTTTTTTTCAATTTGCTTTGCGTTTTTCAGCGGCGACGTTGAAGGTGCTCGAGTGGAAATTAAACACGCCGCCAGTACGCCCACTTACCTAGGCACCACCCAGGTACCACCACCCATTTAAGCCACCTCGACTGGCCTAAATATTTATGGCGCAGGGCGTCGGCGGGCCTAAATAATGGCCAGAACAGAAGAGGATGGTCGGCCAGGACTTCAGTTAATTAATCATCGCATGAAAAATCACTGTATCAGTGGTCAGCAGCAGAATCGGGATGTGGATGTGGATGTGGTTGTGGATGTGGATGTGGTGGTGGATGTGGAGTGGAGTGGCCGGAGTGTGTAACTGGATGCGAAACTAAACCTGAACCACAACTGAAACTTGGACTCGGACCGGGGACAGCCTAAGCGGGCCCATAAATAAAGTGACAACAAACACACACTCTGGTTGGAGGGGGGTGAAAATTACGCACGAGATTGTTGAACAAGCCAACAAACAAGAACGACGACGACGACAGCAATGTGGTCAAAACAGAGCTAAAAAAAAAAAAAAAAACAAAAAAAAAGAAGGAAAGAAGCGGGAATGTGACATGAACAACAAGGCGACTGCCGGCTGCCCACTAAGTATGCGCAAGTAAGCGATAGCCTATGAAAAGTGGCAGACGGGTGGAGAGCGGGGGATCGGGGATCGGGAATCGGGGACAGGAAGGGACAGAGCTCGGAACAGGCCCAGATATACCCGCCAGAGAATCCAGTCAGTGCACAGTGGCCAATGGGTCCACTCCAATGGCATTCAAACGGACTTTAAGATCCACGAATAACCAAACGATAAGTCAATCGACTTTGCACTTTCTGGACCACGTATGCAATGTAAGCTTAATTGAGCGTTTAATATAATCACTTAGGGTGAAATAAAAAATCCAACATTTATAAAGCATTTCCACAACATGGCCTGAAAGGATGGCCAAGTCTGAATAAAGCGCGATTTAATCGTTGCATTCAAACATTTGCCAGTTAAATACGTATAAAATATATTCATACCTTTTTTGACAGCCGTTTATTGACGGCAAATATAAAAATATTCAGTAAATACAATTTGTGTACCAAGCAAATAAAGGGAGTGCATATATAAATGTTGAAAAGTAAAGATGAATTAAGCAAGCTGTGAATCAGATTTATGTGTATTTCTCAGTTTGGGAGTTGACTTTATAATTAAAGCAAAATAATATGAGTCCTTTGCACTTTTCTCATTCACTTTTTCAAACACTGACTGGTAATGGAAAACGTTCAATTAAAAATCCCATTTAGGTTCGATTTCTTGATGGTCTTAAGTTTGTAATTTGGAAGAGAAATTAAACATGAAGTTTCGGTTTGGCAGCTGACAAATATTAACTCAACATAACTAAGAGTAAAGAGAAGAGAAATCGCCCATCAAAGAATTTTAAGCACTAAATAGAAGTCTGCCAGTTTTAGATATATTAATTGGATGAAGAAATATTTCGTCAAGTTCCACTGTGCCAGCACCACAGGAAAAAAGGACATCGAAAACGGACAGGCCCCGCAAAGCATGCAACAATTTGTGGCACTTGAAACGCAAGTCGCCGCCAACGCTTGACGTCTGACGGAAGTCCGTTAGCGTGGCCAAAAACTAATGCTAATGTATGTGTGAGCAAGTGTGTTAGTCCTTTGGCGAACACCTACGCCCCCCCCCCATCCACCCTCCACCATTTTGATGTCTCCCTTCGGCAGCGAATATCGTTGTTGGACTGAAGCCTGCAGAATGTTGGAATAAAATAAATAATCATAAAATAGAAATAAAATGACAAATTATTTCCGTTTCCGTTGAGCGAACTTCTAGGCGTGGTTGGCTTCGGTCGAGGTGATGTGGGCGTGAATGTGGCTGGTGGTTGCAAGTTGCCAGTTGGTAGTTGGCAGTTGGTAGCTGGAGTTTTCTGGCTTGAACGGACGTCGTGCCCAGGCTGGTTTCTAGCTGCTCGTACATGCCAGGAAAGAGTGTAACGAACTGCGTGGAGAAAACGTGAGCGAGGGCCTAGGACGAGGGCGAAACTTGGCTAATATATGCAGCTGCCAGTTGCCAGTTGCCAGTTACGCCACCCAGATGATCCTAGCAGCTTGTGTGACAGGAGCAGAAGTAGCAAAAGAGGCAGAAGCAGAAGCAGCAGCACCGAGTGCATAATGTACTTAATGCGCCCCTGGTTTCCTTTGCCGCTGGCATAAGTAATTGGCCTTTCGGTTTTCCCTTAACCGCCCGTTTTGTCAGGGGAGTGCGGAACATGTGGCGTATACGTGATACTCATACGCACTGGTCTAGCGTTTTGTTACCGGTTTGAGCTTGGGCTTGGGCTCAGCTTAGGTAGGTAGGCCCTTTAAATCGATAAACGAACATGTTCGGCGCCCATTTCCAGGTCATTTCTCACAATGCTTAAATTAAATATTTACACACGCCGCAAATAGAGCCTTCATGTATGTGTAAGTGTGCTTATGCCAGTTCATAATTAATAATTATTTTATTACATTCACAAACAAACGGAGGAAACAGGCATTGCTGAAATACAAGTACCAGCCGGCCATTAAATACTCTACATCTTATTTGTCAAACAAATTAAGATCACCATCAAATGTTATATCCTTTGGAGTTGCCAATAAATAAGCAGAGATAGAAAGTTTTTCACATTCAACAGTTGCATAATGGCACCACTGAAAGGGCAAAACATTTTAATTTATTTGAGAGTGACAAACGCGGAGGCCGAATCAAGCAGACCCTTTCACCACAAAGAGCAGGCCGTGAGCTACAAAATTATGACCGCAATTTGGGAAATGAAATGCATAAAGCAAAATAAGCAAATGGCACGCAAAGTGACCCGAGGCGGCGTCAAAGCGCTCTAATTGGCCGCACAAAGCCAACTCCGGGGGCAGATGAAGGGCTGAGATGGCGGCGCGATGAGTAGCTATTCCTGATTTCGAGAAGGGCCTGCGGAGGCCCATGATTCGGGGCACGTGTAAAACAGTCGGAAAAGAATCCCTACTCGGGCGCCACTTCAAGTTGTAATTTCTGGACCTAAATAAGCCTACAATTTTGAACCAATAAATGTATCTCACTCTAATCGTTAGATCTATAACTTATAGGCCAATCAAAAGATTCAACCATTTCCATTTCGCTCTATATGAATAAGAACATATCTCGTTTTGATCCTTGTTCATTAAAGTTTATCAAGCTTACATTCCAAAATGTATTTACAAAGTGTAGCACTATAGATACTGCTAGGCCCACTGTACCATATACATTTAGATAATTACGCATTAAGCCTTCTGTATAACAATAAGATCGATTCTCCGTTAGATTTAAGCATTATACTGTCATCCCTTTCTAGCATGTACACTTGGCATTTAAGAATAAAATGTATGCCTAGCACACTGACACAGATAAAAGGAATGGAAGTATAGATAATGATCGAGTTGCGGCATTCGGTGGCTGGCGATTGAGAAGAGCAGTTGATAAAAGTTAAATAAAGATTTATACATATATTTAAACGAGTAAAGTGTCTTATCCTTTTACAAAAGCTCTCACAAATTTCAGTAAGCCACTTCTAGTTGCCTTTCGACCCTAAAGAAAACCTTAAGAATTTAGTATAAATTACAATCCGCTTAAAACATAATTTAAAGATTAAAACTATGCATGAAAGATTACGTTGATTAGTCAAAAGGAACGGTCAAGTTTGATACATAAAAAATAAATAATAAGTGTGTTTACTTGGGTATCCCTTTACCCATCGAAATAGGACACGAATCGGATTCAAGGCAAGCGTGGAGCTCAAACAATATAAACAGCGGGACAAATGTGGGTTTTAAAAAGTTTCCAATTTCGGAAACCGACCCCCATGACATTCAAGGATAACCACTTATTTGCAATGGCAAAATCACTAGAGTGAACCAATGAGTGAGTTCAAGGACCAGGCGCCAGGTCGCAAAAGGGCCCCACCTGTCAGAGGACCTCCCACCCCCTTCCCCCTCCCCCCTTCCCCTGCCGAATCGCATTGAACTTGTTACAGTCGCCCCCCACCGCAGTGTACATAACCTCGTTCCGTATTTATCAACGACTCATCATTGTGATGGAGGGCGCCTGTCAGCGGGCCGCGCCCCGCGTCGAATGTGTATTAAGCCGCCCCCTGGGGAACTTGCAACTTGGAGCTTGAAGCTCCGAGCTCGGAACTTGGACCCGGGCCGCTCCCGGCGGCCTCTTTCGGGAAACGGGCCCCGTGAGGCCGCCGTGGCCAACGGAATCTCAAAAATGGCGTGCCGAGCAAAAATTAAGCAAATAAACTTGTCAACACATTCAACTTCATTATCGGGCCGCGGCCGCTCCCCGATGGGCTGAAACTTACCCGTCTGCAGAGCTCTTGTGGTTTTACTTTTTCCGCTGCTCGGTTTTGGGTTCGGTCCTTCGTCCTTGTGCGGCCTAAAAAAAAAAGGAGAAGGAAAAGGAAACGAGGATAAGAGGGGAAACGAAATTATGACCTGGCTCAAGCTGTGAGATCCCAAAAATGCCCGCCCAGGAATATTCATATGCGAATATTTTGTGGTTTAATTTAGATTGCCCGCGGCCGAGTTCGGGATGAGTCAAGGGTTCTGTCCAAACAAAAAGATTCGCAATCACGCACTCGGTCTAGCAGCCTCCGGCGAGGGTCCACACTTGCGAAATCCCTTTCAAAATCTTATAAATTCCTCTAAGCACGAACACTTTTCTGCACTTGGACAACATGTCTTTGGGAAAACCAATTTTCGTTCATATCTCCGGATGATTTAGGGTTTTCCTAGTACCTTGCTTATAATTTTATGTTGTTAAGGACCATGATTGATCAAAATAAGACAACCTGCACAACAACTATATGTATGGAATCCTGTTGGTTTATACATGCTTAAAAAAATGTAAACAAAAATATTTAAAAAATGTAAGTGTTTAAAGTTTATAAATGACTAAATGATTGGAATAGGGTTGACCCAGAAAGTTGTGTAGGCAAATCAATTTAAAATTGAGATCCGATAAAAAAGAAGAGTAGTTTGAGTCATAGATATAACATTTTTTCTTGCTAATTGTCCCTACCATGACACTCCAAATTCCACATGCTATAAAATCACCTATATTTAATACGTAAAATATTGTTTCAAAGTGATTTGGGTTAATTCCTCCAACTAAAGCCACTTCAGAGTGAGCCATTTTCCATGGCTCGAATGCCGAATTCAGATAAATCATGAAACTTTATAGTTTTACAAGCAGTTGGACACACAATGCCCAACATAATCAGGCGAAGCAACAGTGGGCATCAATTTTACAGCCCCCGAGCGGGGATGCAAACAATTTGCGCAAATATTGTTGTTTGCATATCGAACCCTTCTCGCCATCGCCATCGCCCATCGACATGGACATCCACCATCGACATCCACCATCGAAATCCACATCCACATCGACATCGCAACACAATGAGCTGGGCCAGCAAACAAATTTATGACCGTCATAACGGGTGGGCGATGTTGGTCGGAGTCGAGACCGGCAAACACGGGGCCGACAAAATGTCTATAGTGCTACATAATAATCATAATAATAAATAGCAATAAAAATGCTACAAAGGAAATTAAATTTCTGTATCCGCAAAGAAATTCAAAAGTGCACACAGGAAACGACAGCGGATCTGGTTTGGATGGATGGAGTGTGGGGGGGGGGGAGGTAAAGGAGGGAGTCCTGGCAACGCTTTGCGGCCCTCAAATTGCCCATAAGCTGTTTAACTGAGTTATTAAGGCGCAGGCCCCGAGTTGCGAGCCTTGAGCTCCTAGCTCCCAGCTCCTAGCCCCCATCCACATCCTCATCAGTATCCTGCGAGTCCTGCCTTCCAGTCGAGTGCTGCTGCCCAGTCAGCGTGGCAGGATGGCTATATTAATGTTAATTAATGTTAAATGCCTAGGCGTTTCAAAATCATTTGCAATTTGGCCGCTGCCCAAGCAGGCGAACCCAATGGCCTGGTCCTCGAGTGTCCTGGACAGCGCCGAAGCCTTCAATTGGCCATCAACATCGTTAATAATTTGATAATTAGTTCAAGTTGTGAAGTTGACGCCTGGCAAGTGGGTTCCGAATGCAGGCGAATGATCTAATTGGGAGGTTTTTGGATCGAAAGGTCAGTCCGTGGACTTCTCACCTTAGTCCTTTCTAGTCATATCCTTTGGGGGGACAAACCAATTCAGTCGCATTTAACGGGCCGACAATGGCGCATATAAAGCGCTTTGTTCCGCTCCGTCGGCCGTTGTGGGCGGTGGGGATATGCCCTCAAAGCAGGGGGCGTGGCCATATGACGTGTGACAAATTTTTGCGGTTGGCGAAACCAAAGAGGGCGGAGGTGAGGCGGGAAACAGAGGTGGTGGCAAATATGTGTTGCACGTCTCCTCGTCCATGGCCGGAAAATTGTCCAACATATCCGGGGAGCGTTGAGGTTGGCTGCCCATTGTGGAAACTGCCCGGAGTGGGGGCATTTTTCGTCCCGGGCGTTTCACATTTCGAGCTGCCCTGCCCGCCTTACTTGCAGTTAAATAGGGCGGAAAAATAATTGAACCATTATCAGGCAGTCTGGCGCAACGGACACTCAATTGATGCGGTGAGTGTGTGTATGTGTGTGTATGTGTGTGTATGTGTGTGTATATCCTATCCTTGCTGTGAATAAATTTCGAGGTTGTTTTGCCTTTGGTTTATTGTGCTTATTACAAAATATTTAACACCACCAGAAGCACAAGGCGCTGCCCCGCCCACTCATTGCCCGTTCGTCCTCACTGGCAGGCAGAAATTGTTGCCTCATTGTAAAAATTTATGTTAATATTTTAAATTTTCATGCTGCCAGTCGCCCGCCCTCAAGTTGTTTGTTGGCCTGGATGGCCCGAGAACGCCCCTTGTCGCTTGTAAAATGTAATGTAATTTCTACGCTGCCGGCTCTAGGCCACGGATGTTGGCAGGACACACCAGGACATGGCAGGACATAGCAGTGCCCAGGACACAGGACGTACTTCTGCCGAACGGAGAACGGAGAACGAGTAACGAAGAACTGGAAACCAGGAGCCGCTTAAAGAGCGACCATATTTTTAAAAAGCCGCAAACTGCAATGACAGTTAACGTTGCTGGACACGCATGTGTAGTGGGGTTTTATAAATATTTAACGCTCATATTTTATGCGCATTTTTCATACTCTCCATGCTGGCCAGCCTGGCCATACTGGCCGGAACAGCTTGAAAGGACGAAGGACAAACGGACAACGGACAAACGGACAACGGACAACGGACTACGGACGTTCGGCATCATTAATTAATCCCAAAACGTTGATCCTGATGGACCGCAGAACCCGTGGCGCTCGCACACCGGTTGACAGGCTCCGGCTTTAAGTCCTGGGAATTATGAAGGACACCAACTGGACACCAACGGGCAAATGCTAAGGCTGGTCGGCCTGCAATGCGTTTAAACGGCACGTCCTCCGCCCACCATAATCTTTGCGGCATGTTGTTGCGTCGAGCCTCATTAAGCGCACTTTGTCCAGTGTCCTGCGTCCTGTGTCCTGTGTCCATTTAAAGGAAACTCTGCCTCCGACTACCGCCGTTCCACCCGATTCATTCCTTCTCGTTCGCCATAAATTATTTTTAAATGCATACTTATGTGGAATTTTGCCACGCGCTGCCGCGACAACTTTTCATAATTTTTATTTACATGATGCGGTTGTGGGCGGTGGTCCCGGCTGCCAAGGTCCTTTTTGCAGAGAGGTCCTGGCACAGGCGGCGGTCGGCGGAGGAAGGCGTTTTCAGTGGCGGCGTATAACCGCATTAAAATGATTTGTAACGAGCGATGGCGGGCCTGTCTAAAGCCCGATGCCTTTGCAAAAAAAAAAAAAAAAAAAACAGGCGGACAGAGATGGAAAAGTGGCCAGGATGGCCAGGATGGTCGGGATGGCCAGAATGTGCAGGGGAATGGCATCCTGCAGCAGCGTTTACCACACGCATCACTTGCCATGGCGCCTGCATCTGACTCCCTGTCAGCCCACGATGTCAGTCGCGACCCTCGAATGCCGCTGCACTGCAGCCGGAGGTCATTTGGAGGTGAGAAGTTCAAATGCGCATTAAAGGATGTTGGGCGGCATAAACAAACAAGCAAACAGGAACTTTAAAATGATTTGAGGCTCGAACTAAAAAGCCAAACTGTTAGACTCCAAAAACGTAATTACTCAAAATCAAAGAAAAGGGTCCATCTCGAGTTTTCTTTAGGTTGTTTGATTTGCTTAGTTAGAAAAAAACCCTTAAACAGTGGTTTTTATGGTCCAATTCAGGATAGATTTTTTCGGTTTTTTGATCAAAACTCAGCGAAATAATGATCGCATTTTGAAATGTCTTACCTCGCTGAATTACTTATCAATATTCGCAAGAAAAAAAATTTGAACAAAATCTGCATAAAAAACAGCTCGATTATTTGGTTGTTTTTTTTACAACCCTGCGATTCTCTTACCTCGTTGAATTCCAATCGAATGACAATCCAAGCTATTTCATTTTTTTTTCATTTATGATGTTACCAATAAGTGGCTCTCTTTATTCATGTAAAAAACAATAAACTAACAAAATGAATTCAAATTTCAGATTTCAGAAATAGTTAAAATGTACCTTTTGCAATTTAGCCAATTTGAAAAATTAACTTTGTAATCCCACCTCCAGAAAGCTATTGTAAATGTACATTTGTTTTTATATACCCCACCCTCACATAAATAAAATAGTTGTGAAAGCAGAAACTGGGTACAAAGTATTAACACAATTTCTAACACCAAACTTTTCTACGAACTTGTTGTTTTTTTGTCTGGATTTTGAACTGGTAAATATTGTGAGCATATGAGCGTAACACAAAGTGCAGCTTAGTGGGTTCCTCGTCCAGCTGGTCGAGTGGATGCCGAATAATTCTGTTTGCCGCCCATCAGATGGACCGCCCCCCATTGTAATCAATCTAATTATAATCAACTTTGCATTCGCAAACCCACTTCCAGTAGCTCCTCCCGTCTGACCCTTTCCCATCGGATCCAGATTCCGAGCCATATGGCGAGTCTGCAATCAGCAATCTGCTCGGTTATAAATAATGCCGGCGAGCATATGTGCGGATGAACCGTGTAGCTCGTTTGCTGTCGATGGGCTGTCATCTTATATTTACCCACATTATATAAATGCAGCCATTTTATGTCAAAGTCGCTGGCAGCCACTCCTCCACCAATGGGTTTTTAATTGAGTTTGCTTGTGGGATCGTCGGGTTTTTCCATTGCACTGGAATTGGCCAAGTGTCTGCTCATTCCGCCTTACTGATGGCATTTTGAGAGTCCTTCACATAGACAAACTCGCACAGGAATTACCTTAATTATTTATATTTAGGTTTGGCAAGCCTTTGTCGTGTGTGCCACT